TGCATGATCAAACCGAGGAAAAAAATGAATCACCGAATAAAGCGCCACCCAGGATAATAAACTTCTGTCAATGTTGCCCGAAGGCAAAGCTCCGGCCAAACACGTCTGGCCTATTATTGCTATAATAAACAAGATAGCTGGGAATTCTGACTGTAAAAGTGAGCAGACGCAGAGTGGAGCTAATTTTATCAGCAGTAACGGTGAGCGAACTCGTCGGGGACACATGATGCATAAGCAGTACGTGCACACTCATCATCAGCTGTGTTGATTCGCTTTTCACAATCACAAGTCACAGTTCAGTCCTGGAATCTAAAGCCAGCTCCGGCCAGATCACATGCAGCATCCTGGTAGCTGTTTTGTGTTTACACGCTTACCGTATCTTCTAGTTTTGTTACAACACACAACTTTCTGTGATATTGTCTTGACCCTCTAAACCCACAAACCCACCAGCAGATTATGAGCAAACTGTTATAAATCAAAAATACTCTCCAAAATCATACAGCTACTTATCTGTGGCATACTTTTCTGTCGGGAAGCTTAACAAAATCTAAGCTTATAATCAAGATATTTCATCAAAATCGTCATTCTACATGTCTGATTTTACAATTGGCCAAAAAAACAGACATTTTCTCTCGCCGAATTTGGAAAAATACACAATTTTGGTGCAACAATGGAGACATTAGTGACTCAGTTGCAACCAAAAGTCATGTGACAAAACTTTGTTTGGGCTGAATTGGGCTGAACTGCAGGCAGTGCTTCCACAGCGCAGATATGGGACGAATATAGGAACAAATTAAACATGTAATTTGCAAAATATCTGTATAATGTAGAGCCACTATTTTGTGGACACTTGGAAAAATGTTGTACGTATTAAGTTTTTTCCCCCAATTTTTGCACAACACATGATTCAACTTTCGTTTCTTTTCTGTTTTGATGATATCAAGCATTAGAAATTTGCAATACGACACAAAACACTTTCTCGAATTCTCTCTTCTTTCAGCCACTTCCTCTTCCTGCACTGAAAAGTGAGTCCACAGTGAGTAGAAATGTGTCAACACCTGCTTGAGGTTCAGACGGGTTCATACTACTACTACATGTGCTCCACCAATCAGGTGTGATGACGGGCAGACATCATGCTGTCAGGCTGGAACAACCAGACTCCTCTGAGCTCTGCTACCATCAGAAATGTGCCTTTAAACACTAATAAGTCAGTTTATTCAGTCTTGTACGACAGTCCTGTAATGAATTCTACCTTCATGGAGGTTATAATTATCAGGTTTTGTTTAATTTGACAGAGATATTAATTCAATAAAAGGTCGTTATGGAGGATGTGGTTTGTGGTGCTGTTGAACTGTGCTGTTACCGACAGGAGATTCTATTATTTTATCAACTTGATTTATATCAGTGAGCGCTGTCTGAAGAACAAAAACACCTTCAGCAGCACACCGCTAACAACATCCTCCAACACCATCATACGACCGGCTCAGCACTCGCTCGCCTCGAAGCAGCTTCAACAAAAACTGAACAATAGAACCTTCATGATTGCAGGATTGTGTGCAAGACTGCCTTCTTTTTTTTTTTTTTTTCAGTATACCTAATAAACAGGCAGGATTAGCTAGTTATCTGCTAACCACGGTTGCTTGGTCGGTTACTTATTTGCCGAAAATAGCTCCCTGTAGCTGTTGGCGACAGATTTAAGAGACTGGTGGCGCTAAACTATAAATCAGATGCAGTAAAACCTTAATAAAGAGCTAAAATCTCTGTAAACCCGCTGTGCAGAGTTCGTTGTAATACTCTCTGTGAGCGAGCCCTGTCATATTAAATGTAGCCCTCTGGTTCAATGTAGAAAAAATGAAAATTAGTGAAGCTTTAAAGCTTAACGCCTTCACTCATTTCAAATCCAACGTGTTGCTGTGCAGAGACGAAACAACGGAAAAGAAGTCACCGTGCTACCGCTGAGTGTGCTGTGTGTGACTTATAACGCTGCTTGGACGCGTCCTCCCATGTCAGCGTCGACATATTTTTCCCTCCAAACAGTGCTCCTCTGACAGTGTTTGGCAGCGCAACATGTGAGAGGGTGCGACGGAGAGAGGAGCGATCTCATGACTTCAGTTCAAATTACCTCCTCATCATTGACAGTGATGTGTGGTCAGGGCTCCTATATTACACCGCCGGGGCAGACATCTAGTGATCTACACCTTCATTTCCATCCTGAGTGACACTGACAATCTTCGTCTTCGCCATCCGCCGCGCTGGAGAGAGAGAGGGTGTGTTTGTTCTCAGTCTGTGCTGCAAGCCTCGCTCGCCTCGAGGCTTCTCCCTCTCGGTGTTGGTCGCGTCCACGACAGCCAAATGTACCGTAAATGGATTTCACGTACACATAAAGCGGAGATGCAGATTGTGCTGGAGGTGGTGAATTCTAACGTCCTTCCAGCAACTCCAGAGGAATGGTGAAATTATATTACCTCCCTCGGGTGCAAGTGTGCGCGTGTGGGCACCCTTGTGTTTTACAAGTTCGGTTTTCCATTAGAGAGAGAGAGAGAGCCTCTTTTTTTTTTTTTTTCTCCAAGATTGTTCCTCGTGGTCATCATGAGGCCTCTATTTACCAGCCGGGCAGCTCTGGAGATAACCTGTCATTCAGAGTGATTGACAGACAGTCTGTTAGAGGAGAGGACTCTCAGTTAAAGGCCTTTTACTTGGGCCTGTGTGTGAAGTCTTTTTAATTTGGTTCGAGTAGAAATGGATGCTGTGTACAAAGGGCGGTGGGTTTATTTATTTTTTTACACGTTTGCAGTGAACCGTTTCTGAAATACTCGGACACAGGTATGTGGTGTTATTATGGTGTTTTTAGGGACTGTTTCATTATAAGTTGTCCACTGATTTCCAGTTTTTGGTGCAGATTATAAGCGAGTTTTGTTTCTACTGTTCCCTCCTACGTGTCGTCGAATGAAGATCTAAATCAAGATTCATGTTTGTTCTTAAAACAGATTTAAGGAAACTTTGCTTTTTAGTTCAGATCTGATAGGAAAATACCAGAACGCAGTGAAGTAAAGATAAAACAGAAACTCTCTTTTGTGTTTGTTGCTGTAATCAGATATCTTGGTATCCAGCATGCAGGAGGTTTTGGATTTATTTGTACAGCAGTTCAGATATGCATCTGAGATGTCTGCCTCTATCGCAGTGTACACGTTTGTTTCTTTTGCTCACAGCCTTAAAAAAAGTCATTTAAAAACTGACCAGCGACAGCTTATTCCAGGAACGTTGTCACCATTGTTGTGGATGATCCACCAGGATTGCTGTCAGCAGTTTGGAATTACTTTTTACAGTTTGTGTGAACAGAACTTTTACTGCAACCATTTTAAGCTTCAAATAAATCTGCAGTGTTATAATTTAATGGGGTTTTTTTTACCCGTGCTAGTGGCACAGCTTAAACTTAACTTTGTCACTTTGTTGATCTTCCTCTTTGGCCCAAACTCAAATCAGTGAATAACAAATGGTTTGACATAAAGTTTGGTTCACATATTCATGGTGCCCATCCATGAGTTTACTAATTAGAATTACTTTGGTGATTCTTGTCCCCAAAATGTTGCACCAGCTTTCATGAATCCCACATGATGCACCACGATATCTTCAAAAAAATGGTCTGACTTCTCCACTGGTGCCACCTGGAGATTAACGTCTGGGACTTTGAGTGAAACATCTTGACAACTATTAGTTTTGATTGATTAGATTCTTGATGAAACTCGTTGAACGTCTTGGTGTCCATCACCATCACAAGGTCAAATTTGTCCAGTACTTTGATCTATGATGAAATGCTTGAGCTCCCGTCAGCCTCAAGTGTGTTTTATGTTTAGTGCTAATGAGCAAATAAACTGACTGAGCATTGTAGGCTACCTGCTAAACATAAGCACCGTCTATGTTGGCACGTTAGCATGCTGATGTTAGCCTTTCATTTAACCCTAAACGCCTGATTAATGCACATCCAGATTCAAATCCCTTCTTCTCGGTTGAATTATTTTTGCATATTAAATTAAGCTGCACAGCTGTGCTAGCTGCTTGTCTTCAAACTGTTTTTTTTTTAACTGAATTAATTACTGTTACAGTCCACATACAACTCTTTGTCCATCTCCACACCCATTAGTGTTGTTTAGACATTTTAATCTATATCCTGTATGTTAATATCTATGCAGTGATGTGTCGATATCACATCATGAGAAAAAAACGCTGCATGAATTTTGTAATTATGCTTGTTACATATCTGTACATACTAAAGCAGTGATACAGATCAAACAGCTGCAAAGCAATGATTTAAATCACTTCTTTGCATTTTTCCACAATCATAATCCTTAATTAATTAAGTCCCTGTTGTTTTGTAACACATACATTGCAAAATCTTCCTTCTCTGAGTTGTGTCTCTATGCACCAAAGAGTAATCTGGTTTAGAAATAATAAAATATCTGCACTGAGCTGACACTGCATCCAACTTTGTGTGAAAAAAGAAACACAACACAGTGGATTTTACAATATTTAAAAAGTTGTGGGCTATTGGGGGCAAACATTTTCCTGGTTTCCCACCTCTAAAAGTAGGCTACCGTACAGGAACACTTAAAGAAAGTAATTCTTTTATGTGAGGCAGTAAGCACATATTTTCCAATTCACACAGTGTCCCACCATCATATATATAATATCATGAAGAGATTCCGTTTTTCTTGATATCTGAAAGTAGCATCATATGAAGTGATGGAAGATCTGGATAGCCTACACTGTTAGACTATCCAGATCCTCCATCAATAGATAACAGTAGTGAAATTACCCTGAACATAGCTGGAGGCCCGTAATGGTAAAGCACCCTGATAGTGCCGCTTGTGAATTTGTGGACTCTTGATCTTCTTCTATCATGTGATTTCCAGCCATTAAACCCAAAGAGACGCCCCATAATCCTGCTAATCCATATCTACTGTTGACTAATGCTACTTTTTTCCCTCCCCTCTGTGTTCCAGGGCGTTATTCAGGACGTGAAGCTGATTTTCGCTCCCAACGGTTACATCACACAGTGTCCTAACCTTAACCGCAGTGAGTACCACGACCACACAGCCATACGTAGTATTTCAAACTCTAACAACAGAGTAGAAAAAGGGGATGGACAAAAAAAAAACTCCAACACTCTCCATTAGTGTGTGCCATTATAAAAGGGGGCTCTAATGGGCTATGTATCAGCTGCTGGTGACCTCTGTGGAAAGCCCTGAAAGGCTTTGCCTCCACCGACAAAGGCGCTCTCCAGCTTTTTGTTTTTTTTTCTTCATTGTGCTGTATTTCAGATTCAGTGCCATCTCTCTCCTCGCCTTGTTTCTCTATCTGCTTATTGTCAAACACATTAAGATAAGGGGCCACCGCTGGGCTATTGTCTCTGTCACTGATCAATAAGGCATGCAATCACACCTTGGTGCTTTATTATTGATACTAACTCCTGCCACTAGCCTAAGACAAAGACCTCAAAGACGTATAAGGCTTCCCTTTTGTTTACCGTTGGCCACAATGAGCCGCGTTTAAATAGATGAAGCCAGGCTAATGATCACTTTCTGTTTATCTTCTATCTAAACGCTTCCTTCTCTCCTTTTCTTTTTCTTTACCTTCTCTGTTCTGGTGCTTCTCGTTCCTCCGTTGAGCCTGTCCGACGTGCAGCGACTTCCTGAGCCTGGTGCAAGGCATCATGGACCTTCAGGAGCTGCTGGCCAAGATGACGCTGAAGGTAAGAACAACCTCTGGAACAGGAAACCGCCGTGTCACGAGAATGTACGGCGTTACGGCGACGCTACATCCTACAGAGCAGATAAAAGAAACACTAAATATGCAGAATGTCGGAAACCGTGTCGGCGAAAGACTTAAAAGTACGTAGTTGAAATATCAACCAGCGTCCCTACCTTTTTTTCCCCGTTGTAGTCTGACACGTAAATAAATAAAAAAATGAAAATGAATAAATAACTTCCCTCCTCGCTGCAGCTGGAGGAATCTGAGCCCTTTGATTTCGTCGCCGCCTTCACTGGAGCGCATTGTTCTTTCTCCGTTTAAAGTCAGTATCTCATTTTTATTTAATTTCAACAAGACGGCACCCAATAAAGATAGAAGTTATTGTTGGGGAAGCAAAAAAAAACCCCAACAACAACATGAACACGCACACTAATCTGTCTTTAGAAAATATGTTATTCTGTCAGTTGTTATTGGGAGCGCGGATTGAAGTGGTTTTAAGAGACTCCGAATAAAGAATCACAAAAGGCATTAACGTGCACCTAAGAGGGAACAGCGAACAGACAATTACTCGGTCCCTGAAGGTCTCACTGTATTTTTCATTGTTTTGTCTCCACGGTTTTCACTTTGAGGTGTGTGAACGCGTTCACTTCAGCTCCTTGATAATGTAAAGCATTAGATTATAGAATAAAAGTTATGATAGAAAAGAACAATCGCAAGCTTGACTTTGTAAATACCAGGTACAGTATTTACTTGTTCTGGAGCTTTTGGCTGCATTGCATTGTTTTCACAGGTTGCAGTAGAATGTTTAATGAGCGTATTTCATGTTC